TTTGACCAGAGGTGGGCCACCAGCTTTGTTCTGGCAGTACAAGTTGTGAGCCCCTTGGATACAAGATTAAGAATCATCTCAAGAAGAAGGTGGTGAAAAATGTACCTGAATGTAGTAACACAGAAAGCCCAAGTGGACACTCAGAGACGAATCCATATGTCTACACTTAATCCAGTTTCTTGGATAAGTCTGCGCAGACTCAAATGGCACATTTATTACAGTTCCATCTTCCAACATGTCTTCCTGTGTATCAGCTACATAGCAGCAGTATTGTTAATTTAGTCCAGCTGCTTCAATTCTGAATTATTCTCTCCAGAAATATTGATAGTACTGTGTTATGATTAGAAAGCACTTTACCAAATGCCTCCCAATTCAAATGAAAAAGCAGCTCTAGAGAAACAGGCCAGCTTCCAGAATGTTTTTTTTTTTTAATTGCAAAAAGAAAGAAAGAGTGGTGGAAGAGAAGACTCCCAAATGCAGTGTATCACACTTCACTTGGAGGACTTGCCTTTGCTGTTTCTCATCTTAATACCTTCCTATCAACAACATGTATCAGTTTGCAGTAAATGAAACAAGAGTAGTAGCAGCCAAAATACCTGAAAGAGGGCTTATTACTTCTTTTCTGGCATGTGTTTTTCAGTGCAGTCAGCTTCCTTTTGGACATGTCCAGCTTGATGAGACCTTACTCTGTCCTAAATGTATTTAAGTCTACCTGCTCTGGTCTCTTAGTGGCCAACAAACTTAGCACTTGTAGCACAAATTCCCTTTTTAATATTTGATGTGGTGTTTTGGCCTATTCAGCGCCCCCCCCCCCATCACTATAGCCCTGAAATGAAAATCAGTCATCTGAAGCTGTTATTAGGTGGCCCCAGGGGACAGATTTCCTGTTCATGCAAATTACAGCTTCAGAGGAGGAATTTACCTTTGGACCAAAACAGGCTGAAAGAGTTAAATTCTGTTTCCCACTCATCAGAAATTGAATAATTACCACTCCTCCCCAATACTAGATTGGCTAATACTGAAAACATCTTTTATCAAAAGCATGCTTAGACCTAGTCTATCTCATTAAGCAGAGTGAGTTTGAAATGCCCTGGACCATATAGCCTGCAAGTATGGGAAAGTCAATTCTGAATACTTCTCTTCATTGAAAAGAGCAAAATATCCTTCTACTACAAGTTGGATAACATACAGTAGCCCCAGTGAGAAATAAAGCTGTAATGTTTAATTTGTTAATCAACTGAATTAACATAAAAACTTGCTCAAATCTGGTGACAGATTTTTAAACAGACACTATAGTATTTATAGAAACAACAAATGGCAAGCACTTTAAAAGAGATACATCTCTTTCACACAAAAAAGATATAAAATGTTCTCCTGTTAGATGTTTTCTCATGCACACAGTTGCCTCCACATGTAGAGCATGATGTTACTGATGAGCAAATGTTCTTATACCCACCCTCCCTCCTTGTATGGAGGTTATGCAGCAGGAACTATGTCAATAACAACAAAAAATGCTCCTTTTTATCAGATCTCACACTTCTGCAATTGCACCCAGCATTGTGATGCTAGAATGCATAGCAAACTCTACCAAACATTACTAATGGAAGAAGTTAGCATTCTCTGTATTAGCCACGTATTTTTAAAGACATCTAGCTTGTTAGGTATATTTATTACCCATAAATGGGCTATACAGTGGTACCTCAGGTTACGAATGCCTCTGCTTACGAACGTTTCGGGTTGCGACCAGCTCCGGCCGCAAAAATTTACCTCGGTTTGCGAACTCAGCCTCGGGGTATGAACCGGATCTGCGGCCATTTTCCGCCGTGACACGTGGTCCGCGGCCATTTTCTGCCGGTGACACGTGGTCTGCGGCCATTTTTCTGCCCGTGCTACGTGGTCCGCGGCCATTTTTCCACCCTGCCGCGCGGTCCGCAGCCGTTTTTCCGCCCTGCTGCATGGTCCACGGCCGTTTTTCCGCCCATGCCACATGGTCCGCGGCCATTTTTCCACCCTGCCGCGCGGTCCGCAGCCGTTTTTCCGCCCTGCCATGTGGTCCGCGGCCATTTTTCCGCCCTTGACGCGTGGTCCGTGGACGCCGGAACGGATTAACAGTAATTACATTGAACCTTATGGGAAAATTTGCTTCGGGTTGCGAACAAATCGGGTTGCGACCAGAGTCACGGAACGGATGAAATTCGTAACCCGAGGTACCACTGTATTTTACCCTTCTATTGTTATGACCTGAACACATTACTTTTTAAAATAAATCTATGAAAAATAAAACTTACATTGGTACATGAGACAATATCAATGTAATCAACATTGTAAAAATTAAATCTATTGTCCACATCATTTTAACTTGGTTTTACTACAAAACAAATACAGTAAAGTTTTAATTTCTATCCCCAAGCCGAAAGTATGAGAGTTCACAATATAGCAGAAGAGGATGAGAGAAACACTTTATGATGCTAATAGAATGCACTAGAGTTATATTGAAGCCCACCCATTATTCCATATCAGATATCCTATGTTTTAAGCTGTGCAATCCTTCAGATTCAGTTGTGAAAAACAAAATAATTAAATACCACATAAACAATACGGTGCACCTGAGGCTTCTAGTAGTCTGTCCGAAAAGAAATTACACCAACCTTACAGGGCTCAATGGATACCTGGCCCAATGCCTGAGGTCTTCAAGGTCAGGCTAACAGGTCAGGGACATCCCAGGGCGATGCTGTTACATAGTGCAGGCGCTATGACAAAGAAGGCATGTCTCCTGGGTCCTGATAGATGACATTGTTTCACAGAAAGGACTCAGAGCATGCCTACCCTGATCTGATGGGACGAGCAGAAACAATTGGAGAGAGTCCTGCAAATAATCTGGCCCTGTGACATGTAGGGTTTTACAGGTGATAACCAGCATCTTGAATTGCACATGGAAGCCTACTGAAGACCAGCTGCAACTTTCTGGACCAACTACAACTTCCTAATCCTCTTCAAGAATTGCACCATGTAAACACACTGAAACAGTCCAACTGGGAGGTGACTAAGATGTGAGTGACCATGACCAGAGTCTTCCAATCCAGGAGCAGGCACAGTTGGTGCACACAATGTATTTCTGCAAACACTGTTCTGGCCATGGCTACCATTTGTGCCTTAAACAGGTATTGTGAGTTCTAGAGAACTCTCTAATTGCTCATCAACTGTATCACAGGGGGTGCCACCCTATTCAGAGTCAAGGATGGAAAATCTCCAGATCCAGAGGGCCCTAAAATCCACAGCTACTTGGTCTTGCTAGGGTTAAGGCAAAGCCAGTTTTTCCCCATCTGGACTCCCACAGCTTCCAGACATTGGGGAAAAGCCTTGAGCAGCCTGAAGCAGAGATGTACAACTGAATATCATCACCATACTGATGATACTTAATCCCATGCCAATGGATAACCTTACCCAAAGGTTTCATGTAGAATTAAATAAGAGACCCACCATAAAACTGTGCCTCCCACTCCCAATCTCCTAAGCCAGTCCAGAACTATACTATGATCCAGGAGGGCCAGGATAGACATACCACCCCCATCCCAAGCCTACCAAAGGTTGTCAACAAGGGTAATTAATGCCTTTCAGTAGTCAGTCTGAAATACGCCTGAAAAGGGTTTAAATAATCCACTCCCTCCAGGGTTCTCTGGCACTGTAAGCTTATGACCTTTTCAACAACCTTTTCTGACAAGGGAAGGTTGAAGACTGGATGAAAGTTGTCCAGTTCCATTAGCTTCTTGAGAAGAGCTAATCACTGCTTTCTTCAAAACTGGCAGAACTCTCCCCTCCCTCAAGAGGCATTCACCATTGCAAAGATCCAATCACGTGTCATCTCCTGGAGGGACATGAATCTATAACCTAAGCATCATAACTCAAAGCCCAAGGAACCTGCCCACTTCAACAGGACTAACAGGATCAACTCTTCCCAGATAACTAAACATGACTCAATTGTATGGGACCTGCACAGAAGGGGTCCAGCTCTGAGCAAATTCGAGTGACTTTATCCAACAGATATCTAGGACAGTTCTCCCAGGAGCCCTGTAAAAGTTGACATGGTTCCTCTTTACTTAGGAGGGACTGGGTCACCCTAAACAGGCCTGCCTATTGTCAGTTTATAAAATAAGAGCTGTATATATATATATTTGCTGCTCTTATCATCACAATGTAATCCTTAAGGGCTCTTACTAGTGCTTGGTTGAATGCACTCTGTTTTCCTCCAGTAGTGCTCTTGGATCTCATGTACCGTTTCATCTCCCAGAGTTCCTCTGAAAACTAGGGGACCTCTGCACAGGTGCAATCTGATCCAAGGTCACTGTCACCCTCTAATTCCAAACACTGAGGCCTCAGTTGAACCATACAACAGCATGGGACACCCCTAAGTTCCCTTTGAAACTCAACAGGATCCACGAGGCACTTGAGGCAAGTCAGCTGACTAGGTCCTTCCTCCCTGTGACGGGTAGGGGTGGGGGCTGAAATCCAAGGCTAACAGGGAGTGATCCAACCAGGTCTTGCCAAAGTGAAAATCTCCAGCCAATCAAACATCTAATTTCAGAACATCTCTAAAGCAAGGAAGAAGAATCTGCTCCTGCAATAAAGGGTATTCCAACTACAGACTTTTTGTAACATAAACAATCATAGCCCAGACCAGAAGCATACTACTGTCAGGACAACCAGAACAACCTTTCTGCAATCATTAGTTATTCTTAAGCATCAATATTTTCACATTTAATTATTGTGCCACAATTGGATGTTAATTTTTGCTCTTAATCAAACCAGATAAATACACTATCCTTTCAAATTTCAGTTTCCCTATCCCCTCTCTGAAGTATTGGCATTATTATGCAATGCACAATGTTAGCAGTGACAGGAATGTTTGTTAAATTTAATTAAAGATATTAATTTTCAAAGAACAAAAATCACTGAGCCGACAACTTCTCTCTTTTTTTCCAGATCTCCCTTTGGAAAATTACCTTCATTAGCACTGATTCACTGAGCTTCTCCCTGTTGACAATTTTTATAGCGACCTTTTGACATGTTACACAATGAACTCCCAACTTCACAAGTCCTGCGGAAGAAAAAGAGAAAGAGCATTGGTTAGAGGCATATTCAGAGGCTGTTGAGAACTGCATCTTATTCAAATATCTTGGGTGTGTGTGTATGGTGCGTTTGTATGTATGTATGTGTGTGTATGTGTATGCATACACACACACACACACACACTTTCTTTTTATTGGCCCATCGTCATCACACAATAATGGATACATTTAAAATTCGTCCTGCAGAAACAGAAGTATCCAAGTACCATATTTGGCTTTTTCTACAGTTTGTGCAATTCCTCTAATCTACTAGATCAATCAGAATATTGAAGTGTCTAAATTATTTGGATTTAAATATATTTTCTTAACCTATTTTAAAAGCTTGCAGCAGCTAACAATATTAAAATATCTAACAAAAAGTCTATTGTGTATTAGAGGTAATCCTGTGCATCTATGTTTGAAAACAAGTCATACTGAATTCAATCTGGCAGGACATTCTGTTAAACAACTAAAGCTCAATTATGCAGGGAGCATCAACTTACTCTTTATCTCAGCTTTCAAGAGCTCCAATTATCAACAAAATTGCATAATTATTTCTATCAGCCATAATTTGTAAGAAAGCTACTGCCTTAAGTTACTGTGTTTATCTTTTGAAGCCTCCAGACATCTTTCAAAAGAACAACCTCGCTAATTCAGAGTACCTAGATGCAAAGGAGTTATTTAGAGGCACAAAGCACCAATCTATATTGTCATTTTTTCCTGAAGCATTCAGTTGGATCAGTGTTCTCCTAAGACATAGGATGAACATTTAAAGTTGTTTCCTCACACCTAAAGATGAATATTCCATTCTTAGGCAACTTTAAAAAAAACTCTATAAAATTATGTCTATTCTATTTTTAAAAAAAATCATAACAAATCCTTGGATTATGAGATTATTATTTTGGATAGGCAGGCATTTAAGGCAATCTGAGAATTGCAGCCAGACTTCAGAGAACCTGCCAAATTTATGAGAAAAAAGGAAGGAGAATAAATGCCAGGGTTTTTTTTCCCCCATAGTCCAGTGTAGGTTCAGCTGTTCAAATAACTAATTCAGCAAGTGGAAAAGAACTAATGCTCGCCTGCAGGGGGCACTCCTGAACACTTTGAAATGCTGGCATTGAGTCAGGTTTTTTTTAAAAAAAATGCTACTGCTTGAAAGCCCGCAGAGATAGCACTCTACAACTCTGTTCAGAACTGCACCTTCTCTACAAAGCTGTCACTACAGGTAGGCAGTTTTTACTAGAACTGAATTGGCAAGGGCAGCAACTGTTCATTGTGGGAAATTATGGAACTCAGATTCTAATAGCTGTGCCCATGTTCCAGGACTTGACTGTTAGGTCCATGCCTTGGTAAATCTGAGAGGAGGAGGAATTAGGTAGGAGAATGGAAAGCTGCCGCCGCCGCCGCCTCTCCTGAATGGTATTTGCCTGCCCACTCATTCTATCCGGATGAGCACTCTTCAGGTCCCTTCTTTGAGGCAATGCCACCTGATGGGACCCAGGAGGCATGCCTTTTCCATGGTGGCACCTGCCCTCTGGAAGAATCTCCCCTCCCCCCAACGCACACATACCTCTGGCCCCAACCTTGCTGGCCTTTAGAAAGGCATTAAAACCTGGCTATTTCCTCGAGTGTTGGGGCCAGGATGATGGGAGTCCCTGTCTGGAGGAAGCTAATCATTATGAGTTCCTGATAGTCTATTAAGGACTTGTTTTAACTTTAATGGAATGTTTGATCTGTTTTTGTTTATTTCTTCTTCCTCTTCCTCTCCTTCTTTGGTAAACCACCCAGAATTGCAGTTATTCAAGTTGGTGGTGGTGGTGGGGGGGAACAGGATATAAATTTCTTACATAAATAAACAACCAAAACCCCATACCCCAAACTGAATAATTTATTCTAGAATTCACAATTCAGCCCTTTTATGTAAGCTGTTGTCTTCATTTCTCTGCTGTGGAATGTATAGCCTTGAGGATGCAGCCTCCTACTTCAGCTGTCTAGTCTCCTCTTGGGGTGCATCAATTTGGAAAAGAACATGGCAATCCCTTAACAGAATTGCTTAGGAGTGGAAGACTGTGAGTATTCAGACTCAGAGGGTTTTTGGCTCTCTGTCAAAAACAGAGTGATGCTACTCTTAATGTTGGTGATTTGAAATTCTAGTTTATAGAGTTAATGAAGTCTACTGACAGGTAATGAACTGACAGGTGATTGGTTTACTCTATAGCAAGACATACTCATTAAGAAAGCACTGACAATTAATACAGACATTTTATTCTTACTAAAATATGGAGTAAGATTCCATCAAAGTAAACATTGGCTCTGAATTGGCCATTCATTGGCTCTGAATGCAGTTCTAGTCTGTCAAAACCACCAATTGTCATTATTCAAGTCAATAATCATTGCCCTTAGTTCTCAAGGCAACAATTGTGTTGCTACTTTCCACAAACTTACATTGTATTCATTTATGTAAGAGCAGTTGCTCTGTATAGCCTTTAAATGGTTTGATATCATCTCTTAGGGATTTATGTCAACTCTAAGATACCACACAACTTCCCAATTCTGTCAATAGGTATTCTGGTTTTAGAATTTATTTCTTAGCTCCCTAATACAGCAGCAGGTTAGATCTCTTTAGAAACAAGTTAAGGGTTTAAAATTACTCAGGATTTACTGTGATGAAACAGTCATAATTTTGCAAATCAAGACTTCATTTTTATTTTTATTTCACTATAATGATCACAAAATTATCAGATCAATTCACTTAAATGTTTACTTTGATGGAATCTTACTCCATATTTTAGTAAGAATAAAATGTCTGTATTAATTGTCAGTGCTTTCTTAATGAGTATGTCTTGCTATAGAGTAAACCAATCACCTGTCAGTTCATTACCTGTCAGTAGACTTCATTAACTCTATAAACTAGAATTTCAAATCACCAACATTAACAGTAGCATCACTGTGTTTTGAACATTCCCAATTTTAAAGCACTTAGACTGATTAACTCTTACTTCCTTACTACTTATATAAACTACACAGCTGCTTTTTCTGATTAAAACCTAAATATCTTTTCTCTCCACTCCCAAATGACTCCCTGACTCAATGTTCTAAATGGAATTTCCTCCTGTCAGCTCCCACCTACCCAAGAGCAAGGTTGCAGAAATATCTGTCGGCTGGGAGAGAGAACATCTATGTTTCCCCTGTGCCAACATTAGCCTAGTCCACAAATTTCCTTTGATCTCAAACACTGAGCCTCACTAGAAGCAGAGCCTATAATTTTAGGTCAGGGAAGAAAAGGTGTCCGGGGGGGGGGGGGGAAGGGGGGGATGGGACGACAAAAGAAATGAAGCTAACATCATCTTTTTATTTTTAATGAAAAACCATGAACTGAAACTTGAAAGCTCTCTGGTCTTTTCTACCAAAAATTAAACCCCAAGATAGCAGAGAAGGAAAGACTGGATCAAGAGCAAAATAGCAGGTAGAAATGTTTATGAACTGCATCTGTTAATGGCACCCTGACATATTCTATAGAAGGTAAATACACCTACACATAGATACTTAAAAAGATATAGGGCATTATTGGGAGGGAGTACACTCTGGAGGTTAATAAACAGATCCTACATATTAATTTGTGGAAATTATTCCTACAAAGTAAGTGTGCTGTAGTGCTATATAACATAGTGTTGTATCTTTTATTCTGTTTGCTCAGTAAATACATTAAGAAAGAAGCATGCTCTTTCAACAAGGACACCAGTGAGCTGCATCACATTCTGCAGGTAAATGCTGAAAGGTGGGCTGCACCCAGTACATAACAATTTTTTTTTTAATCCCATGAATTACTGATAGTCATATCAATAAATTTTTGGAATTATATCCTATACGCCGCATACAAACTCATGTCCCCCCTTCTCACATTTTTGGATCGCCTACACCAAGCCTCAAGTGGAATTATTAAAAAAAAAAAAAAAGTGTGACTCTGGCTACCTGGTGATCTGAAACCTCTGGAACAGCTGCCTGACCATCATAAGTTAGTTCTTGATAGCATATGTATTGATATAAATATAAATAAGAGTTGGGGAGAGTAGGATTCTTCTACTGCTCATAAGTGTTGGAACAATTCCCAAGATATTGCCTGGAATTGTGTAGAAGATGTTATCCACAAATATGTGGAGGTCATCAGACTGGGGCAGGGTCTAGTATACTACTCTCAAACCACAAATATAAAGCTGCCAGATAGTAGCACGAGTCATAGATGGTGAAATAAGCTTCCTGTCACTACAGGGAATGCTTTCAGAAAATAGTCTCTCTTCAAATTTATGCTAACAAGGAACAGAATTTCAGCATTTAATGACTTAAACTATCTCATTGTATATGGGCAATAATGTTTACTTACCTGCCTCCCAGGGAATCTACAAGGATTAATTGATTAATTCTCATAAAGAATTTTGAGAAGGAATATTAAAATCTGATGTTAAAGTAAGCATTATTACCAACATTATCAATGGAATATAATTTAGGGAAGAAAATTAAGGATTTAACAATAGACTTTAACACTACTGTTTTGTCTGAACATTTAGCAATATACTATATTTATCCTCTGGGTTAAATGTTATCCTTTTTATAAATTTAAAGTCATTATAGCTACGGAAATGAAGAATTCCATTGTATATGGAAACCAGTAGAATGAACTACTTTTGTCTTCTAATTAAGCCAATGTTTGTTTACTTAGAGGAACTGTTAGCTCTAATTATTGTGTATAAGATTATAGCCTGTTATCAAGTGATACCCAAAATATATGCTGTTGTTTCTAAATGTACACAAGGATAGATCAAATTTCTTTAATGGACTAATGAAAGTGTTCCACATTTTAATGAGGCAATTTTAACCACTGGCTCATCAATGCTAACATAATATAATAGGCTGTTCTTGGGAATGTTTGCAATAATTGGTTTTATGCTGAATCTCAATTTTAATTACAGATCTACCTAACCAAGCATTTTGG